TGCTCCGACTATGCTGTTTTCAAAGGTTGAAAATCCGTTGTCATGCTTTTTACGCATGCCAATGGTTATTATTTGCTTTTAAAAATACGTTTCCGAAGAATATTTTCGAGAATTACAAAGCCGACTAAGAAGTTTTGGTGCGATCTTATCAAGTTTTCGCCCAGTTCATTCTACATTTCACTCCCTTACTTAAGAAAATAGCAATTATTAGAAAACAAAACTTTTCTAAAGAATATTTCGAGAATAACAAAATAGCATTTTATTTCGATTTTGCTTTAATAAACCTAAATCCTGATCATACCAAGTTATCACTATAGAAAAAAGTTATTTTTAGGCTTTACTTAGGAAGATGATGCCCAATCTGTTCAACATATTGACCGGATCTTCAGAGAGAGAGAGAGAGAGCTTCAGAGAGAGAGAGAGAGAGCTGTTACAATTCGAAATATGAGCATTCAAATGACCTGATTTTAATCTAATTTATGTTAGGTAGCCCGCAACACCCTCGGTACTCATTCACATTATAATACACGTTACTACATCACGCACATAACAGTCAACTGTTCTTGAAGCCGCTCCTCCTGTTCCTCCTGTTCCTCCTGCTCCTCTTGCTGCTGGTCCCTGGTTTTAGTTGATTAGTGAAGTGGAGGACGACTCTTTATATGACAGTTATCCTCATAAATCAATTACCTGGTCTTTTGTGCCAATTCTAGTCTCTCTTTACTGCTTTGTCGGTTGATAAGTACCGTTCACTGATCGAGCGAGCATCTGGTTATGTTATTGACCCTCCGCGGGTCATAACTATTATTATACCCTGCCCACCCGCACTCAATTGTAAAGCGTTACAATTTGTCCTACTGTTGCTCTTTTTCCGCTATTCTTCATTCTCATAACTATAGTTAATGGGCTATGAATCATACTCCATAGGTTTCCAATCAGCAGTGTGACTTTTAGTAGGTCCGTTCATTTCTCTCAGACACACGATTAATCTTGCAATTTGATATGGTACCTATTGTTCTTTTTTATAACGAAGCTCTAGAGAAAATTGATTAGCGATAATTCCATACTTCGAGATTCTAGAATTTAGACCCTTTCCGAGCCCAAACTGAAGTTCCCTGGAATCGAATTACGGATTAGCCTACCGTTTAAACGAATTGAAAAAAAAATCCTATTGACGATTATACTTGATCTCTTTAAGTTAATCACATGTTACTTCTATACCGCTGATTCCCTGTGCTGTTCATCGTTTTAATCAAGGACTCTGTTCGTCTATTCAACCCATTGAATCCGGAGGTAATATGATATGTGCCCCGATTTGTGTCTAAACTCACAGAACGAGTTTAGACATTTGATTTTGACGTGTTTTGATGTTTCTGTTTCTCGTCTATAACTGATGGAATTGTGCTGGATCAAGTGAACATTCCTTAGTCAATGGTTCATCTTCAGGAATGTATTTGTTGTGGTTGGTCGGATTTTGATTTCAGAAACTCGGTTAGCAGGAACTCAGATGGCACTGATTTTAGATTGGAATGAATAACTTGGTTTCATGGTTTCACTATTATCAGTTTAACTAAGTTAGTTGTGGTATGCAGTTTGTCGTGGATTTCGGTTGAGATTATTGTCTGGGATTTTGGCGACACAAATTCATAATTTGGATAATGAGCTCGATTCATGTTATCATCACGCATCTCGAGTATTTAAATTTAAACGGTTTAATTTTTAGTTTTTCCTATGTTTATTATTTTGGCTAGCTAGTATATTGGTAGATTGTGTTACTTAAACTCTGAATTAGTTTGTTTTCCTCAGAATTATTGAAAGAGTTTTAATCGTTCAGCAGCCCGCTAAAGAATGGTTTTGCAACCTAAGTGCTATGAAAATAAGACTGTTAAGAACCGAAGTTATACACACTATACGCCTAAAAACCTCTATGCCTATAAATAGCTTCAGTTAACATGTCCCCCAATTAAATCAGTAAATAAGAGTCTGACGCAACATTTAATAGACGTGTTATGTGAGTATGTACAGGTGTTAAGATTTAATCCAGCTTAATCCTAAAACAGTTAGTCCACTATAATATCATGGCAGCTGTTTTCCTGATTTTAACTACCGTTGCTTTGTCTATCGTATATGTTTAGCGGTACTCTTCAGGAGTATACTCCTCCTCAGACTTCATTCACACCTCACTCCTCTGCTGCAATGCTGGTTCGCACTCCATTATAGTGTCTGCTTTTTGACATGGTTTACCTTGTTTCCTGGTTGAATCAACAGTTATTTTTGCTCATTTCAGCTCAAATGGAATCAGGATACGCACGAAAGTCTAGGTGTGGGAGATATAAAACGTAGTCTATAGTTTAAGTAGGAGGCTAGATTGAGTTGCCATCGTTTTGTCAATATCCATGGAAAATTAAGGCTACCTCAGAGACTATTGTTAGTTCTCCTAACTGAAATGTACGTTTGGAGGGTGCCCAAAAAATGTTTCGTGATTGTTCTTTCGTGATCTTTCCAACATATAATTTAACACTCGTCCTTAGTCTAAGGTCATCTTTGCGTAATCATTCTTTGGTTCGTGTTTTTTCTTCGAGTGCATAATATTTAGTTATCCTCCGTAATGTCTTTTGCTGAGACTGTGACGTACAAGTTGATTCTTTATTTCGGCAAAAAACGGAACTTTCCAGAAAACTTGACTCCTTGATTAGCTTCGTAAATCTTTCACGCGTGGCGTTTTACTTCAAGTCCTATTAACTACAATGTGATTCCGTCCTTTTGTGTAATGTGGTGAAATGAATCTAGATCCCTTGATAGTTATGGTCTTATATAACTTACAAGCCACCAGCTTTGACTTTTTCACGAATTTTTATCAGATATCTACTGTAATTTTTCTGCAGAAGAGATAGATCGTTATTTTTTTTACCACTATCAAGTCTGGTTAGAAAAAATTAGGGATCTCAGTTTAGACAATTTAAAGGATTAATTTGCTAAGGATGGAACAAAGTGGAAGGGATAATTTTATGCTTGTTTTCCTATTCAATGCACTGAATGGATTCTTCATTCTGACGATGCCGTTATGGCTATTCATATATTTTGTTAAAAGTTTGTTCGTTTAGTTCGTTAAGTACTCCTGTTAATTAATGAATAAATTCTCCGTTCATGTGCCTTTAAACATTTCCGGCTGGTTAAACTTCAAAGGGCCTTATAAGCTAACTGCAGTTTCGGACGAAGTATCGGGTCTTATTCTGCCATATTTGCCATATTATAGCGCTTATCCTGTTTATATAATTATAGTATTTAATTAATTTTTGCTTCATTTCATCACGGCCGGCTTGATTTTTCCGTCAGTGTGCTTTTTTCCGGTCACTAGTTTGCCTTTTTTTTTGCATGATTGATTCGTGTGTTCACCGTATCAAGATAAAGCTGACAATGACGCACAGCAAGACACCCTTGACAAGCTCTAACATTTGTGTGGGAAACTGTATTGCACTCTCGGAACCATTTCGCCGGGAACTTTTGTTTTCTTCGAATCGTTACAGTGGCCCATTACTGTCTAGAACAGCGGGCCCCCTGAATTGGCAGCTGTAACTTTCCGGCAATTATTTGTTCGGCTCTGCAATCTCGGTACCCGGGGTGTTGTGAGATACTTTTTATAGTGCTGCGCTGCATTGATCGGGCTCAGATTTAAATCCACCATTTTACGGTTGTAGTGTGCTCCATTTGTTTGCAGAATCTTAGATTCTAATCCAGAGTTCACTCAATGACGTGACTTCTTAATCTTGATAGTATTATTAAACCGACAGGGCAGTTAACCAAACTGTCTTGATTGCAATCAAAGATTTGACATCAAAGAACCACCTGACTCCGTTTGAAATTTAAAGCTATTAATGGGGGTTGTTGATGTTTAAATGATTTTGTCCTTTGATAGGTAGGGAAGTGCTGTTTCCCTGCTTTTCTCGCTGTGAGACTAACCGCGGATGATGTAATATCCCAAACTTGACAATGCCGAATCAGCGTAACCTTGCACAATCAAGATACTGGTTAGCATGTTTCGTCGGAATAGAATTAAATATTTACTGGAAGCAAATTGATGAAAGGCAATCTCGTTCAAACTTTGTTAGGGGTAACACGATAACGTAACTTTTTCGGGTCAACGTGCCTGAAAGTTTAGATATAATTCCGTTAAGACTCCACCCGGACTCATGTCCCTCATTGTCGCGGGTTAGTTTCTCAACAAGAGAGGAGCTCTACAGTCCACATGGCATTCCCCAAAGCAGCTCCGTGCGTGGATGTGTGGGCATTCTTTAGTTGGGTTTGCCAAATAGTAAAGATATTTAGACATTAATCGCTCAAAGTTTTGAAGCTTTCTCATTTCATCCTTTCTAATCAGCTCCGTCACCAAAGCTTAATTTCTTCTTTGTTTGCGCATACACTTACAGTCTGAGTCTACTTTTTTGTTTGTAACACCGAACCCGTACTCAAGTTTCTTTTTTTACTGTAGACTATAAATTTGTTCTCGTTAAGTTGATATATCTTTTTGGTACTTTGTTATCCTAACGTGTTGTATTATATAGTTATAACTAAGTTACGTTGTGATTTGTTACATATTTAATTATTCTTGTACAGCCGTTATGTCGCCGTTAACGAGTACTAAATTACAGTTAAGACTAAAGAGCGTGCAGTATGCGATTTGGAATATTGAGAGTAGTTTATTCCTTATCGTAGTTTTCTGTATTTAGTTGTTTCATATTTTCAGCTGATTTGCAACTTTGAAATTGTTTTATAAGTTTATATGCTTCCGTTAAACCACTAACTATGTTTCAGCCTGTAAATATAGGACTTGATTAAAGTTTTTGGATTAACGTCTTAAATACTGGTCTTAATCATGGCCTAAAAAAATAAAGATATTCTATCTCGATTGCTGGCATCATGAAATTAGATTAAGAATTGCGATTTATTTTGTAAATCTGTCACTTTGAAACCGTTCTTAGATTCTAATCCGTTATTTACCTCAGTTTAAGACAAGAAGTCAAGCTCAGCAGATCAAGGTCTCTGCGTCAGGCTGAAGAAAAACGAGCTGTCAACTGCGTCTCACCCTCAACAGCGACAAGCAACCTCATATCTGAAATTCTTGAACTTTCCAAAAACTTCCGGCCTCTAAAACGAACGGTCTCTGCCATGAGCTTGCGTATCGTGAGCATGGATGACAGGGACGTGAAGGATGGCAGTCTGAGGAGGTACGCGGCCAGTGTAAGTGATAACGCTAGTGTCCCCGACCTTGACTGTGACAGAGCCAGACGGATTCACGAGGTTAACGGTCGTAGCACCGATTCCATTAGTTCTGCAGGTAGTTCCGCCACAGAATACGATTCTTATAAGGCAGTGGTGCGACAGAGTGATGAAGATGATGGAGTGTTTGACAGCAGGTTAGACGGGGTTGGTTTCCCTGATCGTAGGACTTCCTCAGGTTCAGATACCCCTCGGAATGTTTCCGTGTCGTCAACATTCCGTCCTGATCAGAATGATTCAGACATTAGAAGAATTTCAGGAGGTCCCCCACAGATAGTCCTCTCCCACTCCTCAGATTCCTGCCCCTCAGATGACTCATGTCCGTCTGATGACTCATGTCCCTCAGACTCAGATTCGTGTCCCTCAGATGACGAAGAAGACGACACCTTCGTAGAAGAGCCCAGGAGGCTCACTGTAGTTGCTCCTCGAAGAGGGAGAATGTCAGTGGTCACTCCCCCTAGCATCAGCAAACTTGAAATAAATGGAACTATCATGCTGAGAAAATCTAAGTCTTGCGGCGACCTGACAGAAATCTCTGAGGATTTCATTGAGCATGTTAAGAAAATGCGTGCTGACAGCCAGGGAGGCCTTCCAGAGGGTCTAGAGAGATTAGAGGAGCTAAGCAAGCATATCAAGGAGGAACTGGACGATGCTCCGGGCAAGTTAAAACGGAGTAGTTCCCAAACAATTACCGAGCGGGAGATCAAGACCGTTGAAGAAACCAAGGCAAGCATCTGGGATGTGCCTTCAATGGCCAGGAAATCTAAGATAGGCCTGGCTATTATGTTTATCAGTGGTAGACTTGGGTCCATAGTTCAGAACAACCTGCATCATGTTACTCAGATGGCATCCGAAGACAACACCTTGATCGAAGAGCCTGTTGTCATGCCTATTATCAAAACAGCGACCGCTCCCGCGCTGCTCGGCGCCCCTCCTCCCAAGAAAACTGTAGGTCGATCTTTCTCCTTTTCAATGAAAAACAAGGCTCAGTTGCTGGCAAACAAGAAGTTGTCGAGGCCCATGATCATGAAAACCAGCCCAAAAGAAGGTATGTGACTTTGTTCGTGATGGATTCATTGTTTTTATTTGTGTGTGGTCATTTTACTGTGGTGTGTACTGTGTGTGATCGGTGTTTACTTGAACCGAAGCAAACTTTCACTGAAACTTTTATCGCAAATTTGTGTTAAATTGTTAATGTCTCATATTTGTCATGAATTAGGAACGTTTAAGTTTCTAAATTTAATAGCTACTATTTCAGCAGACTACGACGGCTCAGATAATGAACTCGATATTCACACTCCATTACCGAGAAAAAGGCTTGGCACCTCTCTAACGGTTTGTTATAAATTCCTTGCACGTTTTAAATTCTTTGGGTGCTCATTCCCCGGAGATAATATTTTCCTTTGCCTTTTCTCACATAATCGACGACGACGTTGTTCTTCAATGAAAAATCGAATAATACTTTATAACAGGAAACAGTAAACATGCCTGAAGTATTGATTTCTTAAGAATCCCCCGATTCCCTGAAATTTAACCTCTATTTTTTGTTAATTCCTCCGGATCACAGGGCATGGACTTAGCGGATCCCTTGTCTGAGCTGCGGAACGACAAGCGGTGTATGTCGCTCAACAATCTCACAACCCAAAACCCTAACGTTAGTTCTGCATGTTTAACTTTAATGCTGATTAGTGATTTACATTATTCAGTTTTCGTTGACTTAAAACTAGACATTTGCACTTTGTACTGTCTGTTAGGCTGCTGCTCAGGTAGTGGCAAATTGTTTCGCACGTTTTAAAAATTGTAACTTAGGGAAGATTTTGTTGTTTCTTGCCGCTGTTGGCCGGATAACCCCTTTCAAGATCGCAAAATTTGAAAATTTTAAATATCATGGCTGATCTTGTGAAGTAAATTGCAGGAATCATTTTTGGGCCAGTTGAAACGCTGGATTCGTTGATAGCCTAAATCTTGTGAGTGCTCTGAAGTCAGAATAACATTCTTGACATTATTAAAAATTCTAGAAACGCTATGTGACATAGCATGTCATCCATGATTCAAGTTGGACGACCCCGTGAATTATTAACTCCTTAATCAATTAGGCGACCTATCATTCGAATTCCGCTCATTTGAACATCTTCAACCTTAAGATGCTTTACCATTGGTGCTCAAAAAGATGATTTATCATGAATCATGAAATAACGTGTTCGTTTAATTATAATGTTGTTATTTTACACGTGTCTTCCCATATTTGTCCCTCTATATTTTATAACCGTCTGTGTCGACAGGTTTACGACCTTTAATTTTAATAAGGACCGTCAAAGTGTCAAATTTATGTTCATATGTTTTAAATTCAACGATCAAATTTGAATCTCTCGTTCTCCATGAGGCGTTGAGAAATGATTTTTTAAGAGCGTGGTTGAAGGATATAAAAACCTCAATTGCTGTGTCTTGGGTGCTTCTGAACATTAGAGCACCTTTCAAAAGGGTTATATTGCTCGGTGACCCATGTAAATATCCTACTTTAATTTAGCATAGTCTACTGGTTCCCAGCTACATTAAACTAGTTACAACCTGACAAGTGTTAAGTTCCTGTCAAATCTCTTACAGTTTAACATATTAAACTGGAACTGTCCGGAGCATTCCAGAACTTTTTATTGCTTATTATCCTGTCTAAAACCTGTGTTAAATCTGTGTTAAATATGTGTTAAATCTGTGTTCAATATGTGTTCAATATGTGTTAAACGTGCCCGATCCTTCTCAAATCCTGGCCTTGACCTTGAAAGTAAGCATTTGTAAGCTGTCTCACAAGATCTTTCATGGCCCTTCTTAAAACTTTAAAAGAAGCTTAGATACAGTCGACAGCATGGAATATCTTGTACAATGTTATTCGACGGTCTTATCATGCTGCATGCACCGTAATACCCAATTTATAAATTTTATAACACGGATTATTGTTTATTCGGAACTGGTGTCCAGAATTCAGATTTTAATCAGAAGACCTATAGTACAGTACTTGTACCCTTGTAACCCATATGAAAACTTGGAAAATAATTCGATCAAAGTATGCAGATTTGCTTGCTGAACTATCTATCAAAAGGATTCTGGCCACAAGTTAGAAGTTACACACCATAACCACATGATAAAATTCACAAACAATTCATCCATCTGGATTTAACCCCATCACTCAATTACAATATTCATTCTTCTAGTATAATACGCCACAACCTTGTCAAAGTGATAAAAACTACAACTGTTCGGTGTTCGATGTTATAATTCTATTCAAGGTGTGTCTTTTAACACAACATTTCACCAACAGCTTACAAGTGTGAGACTTTCCATGTCCCATGAAAAGTTACGAATTACTTTTCTTACGATCTCCCCTTCTTTATTTTTAATATTGGACAGAATTCTTGACGATGTGATGAACTGTAATTGTTCGGAATTATAAAACCATCATCAAGTTGACACAAAAATACAAAAATATTCTGTGCTTTAACCAACTCATCTCCGAGAGGGTTTATTAAATATTTATATAAAGCATGTTGTTTCCGTTGCTGGTACCATGAAAAGTTTGAAAGTTACCGATCGGCAACCTGAATAGTACTGGTGTCTCGGTAGTTTGGGGAAGGGCTTTTTGATTGGTTAAAAAATAACTTAATTTGCTGTAATAAGCTAGGTTGCCGACAAGAAAATGGTTGAAAAAAGGCTTCGCCAAACCTAAAAAATTCGTAATTAATAAGGGTGTGAACCAGTGTCTATACTTTGGCATTAAAACAATTAAATAGATAAATTAAATAAATTCCTCTGGCACCGTAGCTAGTATCATAGCAATGTTTGAAATATTTGATAAACATACTATCAACTAAATTAAATGTTACGCGTTGTTACATGTTATATCGGCTTTTCTGCCCATACTTTGCTTTAGAATTTCAACTTTCAACACGTTGATCCTCTTGAACTTTAATCCTTGTAAGTTCTGCTCATGGATCTAAATTCTAAATTCCCGTCAATCGATCATTGTCGGTGGAAAAGAATCACGGTTTAATCCGATTAATAAGAGCCACCTCAGTATTTGTTGCGGTTAGGAATGGAGGAAGGAACGGAGTTATAGGGTCCGCGTTATTTCGTTCTGACTTAATCTTGACTTAATGTTGACACTACTCTGATTTCATTGGCAAGACTTCGTCACAGCTTGCTGTGCTACTTTGGCTTTTACTGCGGTCGATATTGTGATGATATTTGTATGCACGAGGGCGAGCCTCTCACTTGAAAAATATGACATTTCCCATGTAAATATTTTCTCAGCAATCTCATTGAATTAGTTTATGCCACGACTCGTTTTGACTACCATCACGTGAACTTGATTTTTCTCTTTTTAATCTCTCTTTCCAGTCAAAGACCCCGTCCCGTTATAATTTGAGTTGTTATTTCTAATTGTCTCAAAGTCCTATTGCTAAAATTAGATGACGTCACAACTATATTGGGGATCACATGACTCCTTCCCCTCCCCTGACTGGTCTATCCCTCTGAACACGCAGTCACCGCTGGTATTCAGATAATATGACCGGAATGAGAGCCAATAGACTCGAGCGGATCCAGAACCTGTATAAGAGAAGATTGTTCCCGTTCCTAGAATTTGTGCCGCTGTTTGCATCATATAACCGGAACATGTAGTTAGCCTAGCTGATATGGGTGCCATTTGTTCCATCATTACCTCCTCCTATTAACACCTTTTTATCTTCCCTTCAAATACTCATTCCTTGCCTCCTGTGACCTGTCGCTGTCTTATAGTGTCTTAGCAGAGCAGATTCCTTTGGGGGTCTTTGTCGAGTCCCCAGCTGTTGCAGAAAGCCGCCGATTTACCAATCCATTTCAGTTTCTTGTTGACGTGCTATGTCATGATTTGAGGCTTCACAGAAGCCCGTTATGACTTTCGATTGTGATCCGACAGCTAAATTCGCCGTAGTACAACAAGGCAGTTTCTCGAAGCAGTCGTATTGTTTTGCTCTGATATCGGTCTCTCTTTGTTGCTTCCTCCCTAGTATGTCTTTAATTCCCCCTAACTCACACCAGCGGATGGTGATATAAAACACACTGTCACGTGGTGTTGTTGAGAGAAACGTAACAAAGTAATGATGAAACCTACCATTTTGTATGGACCACGTCGTTTCAGCCTGTCCCGATCTGTCTCTTATGATCCTGCAGTTGACAAGGTGGGTATTGTTAGGTTTAAATCAGAAGTTATCTGGTGATGTTACCAGGTGGGTTTTACAAGGTAAACTTAACCTGATAGCCTTCGTCGGTTATAAGTGTAAACTTACCGATGACCAGTTATCCGCTACCAAGTGACCGTAACTGGATTACCGTTAACTGCAGTAACCGGTGCCAAGTAACGGTTACCGCCGGTAACCGTTACCTGGTTACCGGTGCCAAGTTACCGTTAACGTGGGCGTTTAATTTCAAGGTAGGCGTTACCAGGAAAGCGTGACAATAAGTTTAATGGCTTCCAACACTCCTATAATAGTGGGACTGCGTGTTAGATTGTTTCAAAGCAATTATAGGTGCCGCCAAGATTTAAACAACAAAATTTCTGACATTAAAATATGCTTTGAATTTGGTCGTAAACGTATCTGTACTTTTTGTTAGGCCAGAAGTCTAGGCACAATTTTTACAATTTATGAATTTTAAATCAAATAACTTGACGGAACTTACCTACCTTGAACGGGTTCTTTCTTGCATTTTTATCAGCCTCACGTTTCATTTTCCAAGTTGAAACCGTCCTTGCTGCAGAATATATCGCACTCCAAATCGTCTCCATAAAATAGTTCAATAGGTAGGCCAACATCCAGATCCTGATTTATCCTTCCTGTAAAGACTTGAAGTGAAAGTTTAGAGCGTTGGCACGTGGCACATCAAGGAATCTGTAGTGGGAATCCTGGTGGGATGCCGATCGAAATGTTTGAAATTGTTAAATCTTTAGCCTTAAGAAATCTCCATACCGTGTTTGTAGTCTCATAATGGAGAAAAAAGGTGACATACTGATTTCTTCATATCAGCATTTGGTGCGATCGAGTTTTTACTACTCCGCAACAATCTATTTAGCGCTCTTACATCTTAAGTAATTAGTAATACTAATCACAAAGACATGGTCCTCCACAAAGAAACTGCTTGAAAGTACTGGGTGTACTCTATTTTTACCTGTTAAGTAGCCTTACGAGGACTGATAATTAGCGGTTCATGCCAGCTCCAACCCCGTCAATTATTGAGTCATCACCACTGCTCTCAGAGGTCTGCAGTGCTGATCTCTGGTCATAAGTCGCAGAAAATTGATCGGTATGTAGTTTGTGAACTATGTAGAACTATGTACGCGTTGTTTGCGTCAAAGGATATTATAATATTTTAGATTCCCTGGGAGAGACCTGCAATATTATCAGGTAAATACAATTTACAGTTGATGGGGTGTGGCCGTTTGACTCTTTGTCTTTTTTTCGCAAAAATATCAGGCATACCGAACATATAGAGGTAATGTAAAGTATCGGCTGTCAAGTTGACATTTAACAAGGTCTGTGTGTATTGGAAGTTTACTGTATCTCAAGTTTTTACGAGATGCTGAAATTTATAATATGCATCGATGTAATATTTGTTATAATATGTGATAATATTTATTCATCTGTTAGGCATTTCCATCTTGTAAGAAGGGCCGGTACTCAAAGTCAAATATCAATGGCTGGAAAGGCGAAAATGGCGAGCAAAATTGATCATTTATTCTTCGTTCGTATTCCAGAAATTCTCAAAAGTTTATTGCAAAATTGTCGATGATGCACCCAAATGTTTAGTTAATACAGTTGACATATTCTTTGTCGCTTAATCCTGCACCACCACAAGGTTGCACCACCCTATCAAACGGTTCTCCAAGGAAGCAGCTGTCATACAATCACGGTTTAATAAAATAAACTTTATTGATATGGTTTGTTTTGTTATATAGTGGTGACAGTTATGCAAATTGTTTTAATTGTTTAGGCACTCAAAGTAAGTAAGTAAGATTATGAGACTTTATTGAATGTTTCAAGTTTGATTTCTCCGAGTCAAATTTTAGTCTTCCTCTACCATGCTAGTGATTGCAAGAATTTCTAAGTTGTGTCCTTTTTCCCAATCGGTACAGCCACCGGCAATAATTCAGATAACGAAAAGTCATCTAATAATAAATGATATAATTTAGTTGAACACCAGCTGGCTCTTATTAAAAACATTCCGCATACTTGAGATAAGAATTCAGGCGTCTGATTGATTCCATTCAGACAAATTGGCCCTAAATTGGGTAAGTCAGATAAGGTAAGCTGCGCCTAGATTTACGGGAGAAACCTTAAACGTTGCGTTCTCACGCCTTAGCTTAACCCCGACAATGCTAAATAAAAGTGCTTAATTTTCATGTTTACAATCATTAGAAAATGATCGTAACAATTTGGGTTAAATGGTGATCGTAACAATTGGATAACGAGATGTCTTAGAACGCCGTACTCCCTGAATAGAATTCCCTGAGTTCGCGGCGTACTTTGGTTTCTGTAAGTCACATGATGATCTAAAAGAATTTGAAAAATGTTGCCACCAAGTCAATTACGGGCCCTTTCTTTTCGTTTAGCGAGATGGATTATCTAAGACCTTAGTTATTGGGATATAATATTACTGCTCTGACCATATATAAGGGGCCCTTATCAGCTTTGAAGTTAAGTACTTCAAATTCACAATAATTAGACTTCTGGACCAATGTAAATTAATCGCGTTAAAGAACTCGCGTATTAATCGAATTTCGTCCCGGAATCTAAATTTCTAGGCTGTCCTGAATTATGGGTTATATTCTATGCCTTATATATATTATGTTAAGAAGCCTTTCCAACAATGCCTCAGAATTTACAGTATATCCATACTCAAACTTTAAAATTATCCTTAGATGGTTTTCGTAGACGGCAAAGAAGCATGCTCAGGGTCCAGGGAGAGAGAGAGAGAGAGAGAGCTGTGTCACTTATGTGTTATAGAACCTTACATTCAATAAGACTAACAGTGTTAGGCTAACACCTCATAGTATCGTATTGCTAACCCTTATCAGTACTGGCTATAAGTCACGCAAAAACTAGGAATCATGTATGGTAATAATCTTGTTATACTTTTTTTTGTCGTACTTTTTACGAGTCGTGTGAATTTACCGTCTTTTCTATAAAGGTTTTTAGCGGTGCTTCATTTCGTTCAAAATTGAGTATCTCAATCTGACATCACTAGACCGTGTAGATCTACCCCCGATGAAACGCAACAAAGGCATCAGGCGGAAATCATCCTCTTTGAGGGTAGGTTATAATAGGCTGCTGAAATTACCAAAATATTCAAAAATTCCCCATGTTTCTACCTGAACCGCCGGTATTTGCCTGTCTTCGGGGGAGAATGCGGCGGTGTACCCTGGAGCACATGTTTTAGGAGCAGCATTCTTTATCAGATCATACTTTTGCTAATTTACTAAACGTGATCACGTACATTGAAACTCGAAATCTGGTCTGTAATAAACGATATTTTAATTTCCCTTTGATAACGAAACTCCGCTTGACTTCCCGTTCCGCATTGTGCCAGCAATTGGCAGAAAATACTTCTACTAGCGTGACTAGAAACTACATGAAACGAGTAGCGTATGTAAAACGACTCGACGCATAGTTAGCTGCTAATCAACCGAAAGCCCACGAAATATTATACAATTAACGAAAGATGCCAGTGTGGTGACACAAGATTAAACTATAGTCAAAACTTTGCTGCAGTTTAATATGACTGATCGCTGATCACGATTAAATAACATTTCTCTGGATGGTTTCTCGTTTTCGACACAACTTTCTTTTGAATATGACACTGACTAAATTGTTTTGCGGTCCTCTAAGCTTACGACTGCACTGCAGCGTTTCAATATACAAGAATCCCAGTTGTGATAAAATCCGTAGTAATGTTTTTTGTCAATAATCCTTGCAAATCTCGGCTCCTTCAAACGTTCGATTAAAATTCAGCCGATAATTAATCGGAATTTTCTGCACACATTCTACTACAGTAGCTCAGTGAATCGGTGATAGAATTTAATTTTGTTATTTTTAATGATCGACCATTTTCGCCCCCGCATTATAGACGTTTAAATATGTCCCTTACGTCGATATAATTAATCGGCAATTGAATAGAATTAGACTCAACTTAGACATGTTCTTGGCCTGCAACATAAGTTGCTAGAATATGTTGGATTTCATATTGCCTCGTTTAGATTCATTGATCTAAAGCCATTGCGACATTAGTAGTTCGAATCGACCACGGATTCCGTAGTGCTTCGTTCATTTCATTATAAACCCGTGAGTATTGGTCACCATCAATATTGAATAGGTACTGATTAGACACCGTTGTTCGATCGTATTAAGGGTGCCTGGATTTAATTATACCTCCTATTCTGCCTGAAAATACAATTTTGCGTTTCAATCTTTAAAATGCATCATCGAAAATCCGCGAAAACTTTGTATATTAACAATTTCTTTAAAATGAACATCTGCTATTATAAATAAAGGTTTATCAGGGTTTTTGATTATTTAAACTGTTTCTTGCAATAGTTTCCTTTTGCCAAGTTTATAAATTATGATTTCTGAACCATCACCTCATCAGGATCTGCGGAAGATAGCAGAAATTCCAAAACGGTTCAACAGTTCCGAGCGACTTCTGTCTCCTGACGGTGTCGGACCTCTACATCAGAGTTGTGAGAACTTAACTCGGGTTAGTTTGATTTGTTTATGAATTATCTAATTCCTTTATGCCTCTTAACACCTTGTCCATCAATCTCCCCGTCATTTTCATATCAACGTAAAATTAACCGTTTTTTCTCTTTTCCTGGAACTGTATTCAGAAGCCGACTAACTGTCTTGGTATGAAGTGTGGCACCCCGGATACCTCCACTGATATCCCTCTGCACCATTTGTAACGAGCACGATCACTTGCACTTCCATATCCTGTGTTGCAATTAGATTTGACAAATGAAATTACCGTCCCCACCATTTGTCCAGCTCATGTTTCTCTCTACCAACTGGTACGTGTATATTCCAGGTACACTTCACCTGTCAAGGATATAGTTTCCTGGTTTAAGGGAGAGCTATAACTAATCCCAGAGAGAGACTAGAGAGAGAGAGAGAACTAATCCCATTACCAAACCATCATTGTTAGTAAACACAGTCAGCATGCTAGATTGAGCCATGATGACACGGAGAGAGACTCCTGCTCAGAATTAGTATTATCTCACCCAGCTCCAGCAGGGTACCCCACAACGAACACTAAAGGGTACCAGGAGCCCTGCAGCAATTCATTATCCTACCCGTTTTACAGCTACTCAAACCCAATCTTATCATCGTTTAACATGGTCTCTCCGGCAAAGAAGAATACAGCACCAATTATCAAACAGGAGCCCTGAACTTAACTGGGATCATTCATTTTAGAGGAATTTTAATCTGGAAAACATTTCTCTGTTGCCGGGGGTGCTAGAATGCTATGAATAGGTTCTGCGGAGATAATGACCGACACCGTCTACCTGTGCAGCTCATCTCTCCCAAATAATTTATATATGATTTATTATGTAGAGCTCGACCCTTATCATGTATCATATTATACGTGTGATAACCACGTTTCTATATAATATTATCAGGAATGTTGCACACCACCACGGACCAACACGTTTATTATTCGCAGGCTAGAACTGACATGGAGGTGGACGAGTCCCGGAAATCAAGCTACTCCACTGAAGGTAAGATTCGGTTACCTGCCCGGCCACGATCACGGTCTAACCAGGTAACGGCACGTCGTGTGCCATTGTTTACCAGCGTAGTGATAAGCTCACGGTTTTTATTTTGTTCTTCCGTTACAAAATATGTTCATTGTTCTGTTATTACGCGTCTCCTCAAATGTGTGTTAAAAGTATTTTATCTATACTTGTACAGACGCCATGTCATGTCTTCTCAGTACTTACTTGTACTTTACTTGAGAGTGGGAAGTGTTTGTTCCGAGTTGTTGGAGTAGACTGCATAACGTGTTGGTATGTCAACTCTCCGCGGTTCAAAGTACGAGACACACTCAGTGTACCTATTCCGACTGGTTGTACTTTAGTAGCGTCTTTACTAGTAGCAGCTTTACAAGTACTACTTTAGTAGCGTCTTCTTGTTTTATCCACTTTGTAGAAATAGCTCCAGCTTCAAGACACCGGCTAACCGGTTCTTCTTGGCTCTGTCTTCGTTTCTTTTGTCTTGATTGTCAGGCAAGTGAATTCCAAGGCAGCGTAGCAATTCACTTCACCAGATATTTGGGTAGATATAAATTTCCGGTCGATTTCTACAACCTAAATGTCTAGTACACTATGTACTGACTACTGAACACTATATACACTGAACACCACTGTTGATACATAAGATTATTGATGAGATGCTTGTCTATCTACTTCAGTTGGAGTCATCATCTTTACTGTAATCCAATCAACTAAACACTCGCCACCACCAGCTTAGTCAGTATAACATGTCGTCATGTGTTGTAGCGTCTACAGTGGATTTGTTGCTTACATAATATAATACTAATGTCGTACTGTGTGGTGCCTTATACTGTATAGTATACGTAATACCTTGTTATACGTAATTATAAGTTATGTTTAAAACTTAAGTTATTTAGCAGTATGTTATATCGGTTAAATAACAAATAACGACGTAGCTTCTGTTTAGCGGATGACACCCGGTAATTAGGATCTAGGGAAGCGCTATCAAATCTGTAATTTGCAAAACAACCTTTGATTAGAGATTACTATAGGCCGGTTCCTTTGCACTTCCCGTGATCGTATGTGACCGCATTGCATAATAATAAAACATTACTCTAACATACGTTCCTTACGTTAATTAAATTTGATCCAGCATAATTAATAGTTTCTCTTGCCCGGCTTAAAACATCGTTTTTACTTCGTGTTTTACTGTAAAGTATTCGTAGACTTGACAGGCCATGGCAGGGCAGATTCTTTCGTGTACAAATCGTATAACTTGTTAATGCACGTATAGCTGTATAAGGTAGAAGAATTACTGAGAAAATCAGATTCAGATGCCTGTATAATTGATCCGCCTTATTTTGTACCATATACTGAGATATGTAAGGTATTTATATTTTGTGTCATCACTGTTTCACAGCTTGTATTCCCTGTGCGGATATTAGGACCATAATTTAAGTATCAAAGTAACTTTGGCCTACTGTTGGTAGATCCCTTGAAATAGTTTAGCATTCCGTTGAATTCAGATTATATTGAGCTGCCATATAATTATACTTGTCCAAGCACTATAAGTATTATTACTTTATTCGGGTAGTATTTACCATTTTTTGACAGATTGTGTGGCCCTGTGTAGCCCATCCGTCCTTTGTTATTATATGTAGATTCATCTTTTATAAAAGAGTGAACGGAGTTTTTATCTAATTATCATAGAACTTGCTGAGTTCTCCCAATTACTCAAATCTTGTTTATAGTGTTCGTTAATCAGGTTTGCAAACAAGTTCACATCATGATCTATATATTTTCGACTCATTGTCATTGATCCATTTCTTCGCTTTCCGTACTGTTCGTTTGTATGACCGTTCGTATGAATCCAGTCCAGAGAGTGATCCACCGAAGTAGGTCTTTGAGCCACTTGATTTCTGAGAACTATAACCAAGATGACAGTGAAGAGAGTTCTATGAATTCACAGAAGGATCAGACTTACGAATTGGCCTATGAAAGTATAATCTCAGCTCTTGATCATGGCCATAAGGATCCGCTAGAGTTTTGTGAGGATCAAATCCACAAATTTGCCCATAAAAGTGGAACCTCAGGCCATGATCATAGTCATAAGAATTGCTCTACCGTTCGTCTGAATCCAGTCAAGAGAGTGATCTCCCGAAGTAGGTCTTTCAGCCACTTGATTTCTAGAAAATCACCTAAAGATGTTAGCCACGAGAGTTCTTATTCTACGGATTCCTTGAAGGATCAGCCATACCGACTGACCTTTAAAAGTGAAATCTTAGCCCTTGATCATAGTCAAGAGAATTGTTCGACCGTTCGTATGAATCCAGTCAAGAGAGTGATCCGCCGAACTAGGTCTTTGAGCCACTTGATTTCTGGGAATTCTTTGGATTCCTGGAAGAATAAGACTTACGAGTTGACCTATGAAGGTGATATTTCGACCAATGATCATGATCCTAGCCATAAGGATCCACTGGAGTTTTGTAAGGATCATATCCACGAAGTGACCCATAAAATTGGAGTCCCAGCCCATGATCATAGCCATGGGAACCCACTGCAGTTTTGTAAGGATCAAATCCATAAATTTACCCATAAAAGTGGAGTCTCAGCCCATGACCACAACCATAAGGATCCACTGGAGTTTGGTAAGGATCATACCTACGAAGTAGCTGGTCATAAAAGTGTCTTAGCCAATGATCATAATCATGAGAATCCATTTCATTTTATAAAGGATCGGATCCATAAATTTACTCATAAAAATACAAGTGGAGGCTCAGTCCATAGTCACAGTCATGAGAATCCACTACAGTTTTGTAAGGATCAGATCCACAAACTAACTCACAAAAGTGGAGTCTCAGCCCATGATCCTAGCCATGAGTATTCTTTGGATTTCGACGACGATCAGATTCATAGACTAACCTATAGACCTCGAATTCATAGCCATCCGAGTACGGACCCATTGGGCCACATGCCTTACCACGGATCCTACGGAAGCTTAGTGAGATCGAAAAAGACCACACCGATGAGTCCAATTATTGAGGGGCTTGACTTGGACTTCCCTGACTTTGGTAAGTGAACAGATTAGACATAAACTATTTGTTTGTTCAACTATTTGTGATTTATAGAATTTAAAAAGCTTGCTTATTATCATCAAATTTTTTGCAAATTTCACACCTATTTTTTGTTGTGCGAAAGTGTCCTGTTGCTTGCAATAGCTCCTACAAATTACCAGACCCGCACGGCCGGGCACCATTGACCATTAAAAGTTTAGGAATATTCTTGGACAATTATCAAAATTACATCGTCAACTCTTTAACACGCCTTTATGATATGCAGATCGATTTTCTACTTGCGAAGCGATAAAAGTGATAAAGATCAGCTATGAACACCACTCACCCGCACACACACACACACACACACACTCTTCCTTATCTTCGTCCAGATAATTTTACATTAACTAAATCTCACTTTCAGTGGTCGTTTGTATTTGTTGTGTTGTGTTTTAAGTTTGTGTGTGAGTGACATGGTTATGTTGATCGTTGTTTTTGTTCGTTTGATCACGTGTTGTTCCTCCCATGAACTCCCCCTCTTCTTCAGGCAAGAATGACTCCTCGAACGAGTTGTAAGTACTGCTGACTTCGGGGTTGATTTTGCATGTTGTAATTAATATTCCGATCCCACATGGATCTTGAACTCGTTAACTAGCTTTACTTATGCAATCTGGATACATGGTTGAGTGGTTGTCAGTAAACGAGTTATTCTAGGACATGCTTGTGAATTAAATCTACATTTTTAAACAACGAATAACTTGAAGTAAAACATTGAACAATATTAGTTAAATGAATATGATTCAGTTTGACGGCTATACCTAAATGGCATGTTTTCTTTGTAGCATATGCATGATTTCTCCCGTCTTCGGCCCAAGACCCGTCTTGGACGATTGAGTTATTAATCAGTTAAATGACAGTCTAGACCACCAAAATTAATGTAGAATATCTTAAAAGTTAAGGAATGAATGATAAAGTTACGAAGAGCGCATAGCATCTTCGCTTAAAAGCTCGTAAATGTCCTCCCTTTTCAATCAGAAAGTCAGCCGACTAATTTTCCTCCAACTATCATATCAAATGCAGACAGACTAAAGCTTGTCAGTCGCTATTTTTAGATCAACCACCCCCTAGCTGCTGTGATCCCTAAATAATAATGTTTCAAACTAAATCTCACAATTTCACTTGCTCAAAACCGTTACCCCGTGATTGTAATAATGAGAACGTGATGTTTTTCTACAGCTTTATTGGCAGCCACTCTCCAGGACTACTATCCACTAGTGATCTTTAAAAGAGTACCTCCTAACGATGCACGCTGTAGAATTCTAGATCTTCTCTCCTCACGCTCACTTCTGGTTTGCACAGTACCTGACGGTCAAAATATTTGTCTAGAGCGAGCTCGACAAGTACTTACAAGTGTTAAATTTTCTGTTGCATGATTTGAAATGGTTTGCAATGATTTCAGTTCGTCGGACAGCGAAGAAAGGGACTCGAGGACGCGATTGTCGAGATCCCGGTCTATCTCCATGGTAACGAGGAACATGATAGGGTTCAACAAAAAGTCCGTTTTAAAGAAGAAAATGCGATGTGTGAGTATGAATTGCCCAGTAAATCCTTTTATTTGTCAACCTTTTTAAAAATAACGGGTTTTTTCCTTAATTTAGCGTATTAATTTGGATTAATCTTCAATATTGTTGTCTGTGGAAGCATATTAATAATACTCTGCTGTCTCTAACTTCTAATACTCCACCCTACTTTCTCGTGATGAATTGACAAAACAGCGTACAGAACTGGTGCCCATTATATACGCGACTACTATTCTATTTCTAAAACCCTCGTGCCCATATAAGAATATATGACAATACCCCATGTCTTGCCCATATAAGACAGTAGCTATTGTACCCATTAGTATTACTAATACAAATGGAACTCTGTGCCTTGTAATTGCTTTATAAAGGTGGGTGTGCCAACAATCAGCTACAATTCTCCTCTCCAAGTGTTAATTGGGACTGCCCGAATATCCCGTAAACCCAACAAGGACATGACAGCACCCGGCCACTGCCTCACCCAATTGTCGCTCATTAGCTATCTCCGTTGACAAGCCAACTAGTTCCACCCCGAGCTGACCTATCAATGTTCCGAGTTTGTGTTTGATAATTATACTGTTCTGATGGAGAGTTTTGAGAAGTTTCGTTATTTTCAGCCGCCCCACCACTTCGTGTCTATGATAAACAAACACGAGCTGGAGTGCGAGGAGTGCAGAGCTGAAACACCTGAACTCGCTTTTATGCGCTGTACCCGTAAGTTGCATAAATTATGCGGTTATTATTATTATTATTCAAATATTCTAGACATGCGATTTGTTACTTTTATTTGGCGACTTTCGAGCTCCATTTTTTGAATATTTCTCGCCAACATAATGTATGAAAATTTGTAACTTTGAGGAAGACGGATATAATAATATTCTGAGAGGAGCCGACTGACAGCTTGTTTAGATTTAGACTTGAATGACAGATTGTCGATTACAGATAAACAAGACTTGACAATTTCATCGACTGTACCTTGAGACTGGTGGCCAATTTTCAACCCAACTCTCATACCCAACTAAAATCTCCGTACGTTTGAAGTAGAAGGGGTTTGAAGGATATAATTCTGTCCTGGATTATCTCTGTTACATTAAAGTAAACAGTCAGCTGACCCAAAGACAGTTTACTTTTCATGCGCATCTTCCCGGCAAAACTCAAAAGATGGCAAAAGTTGTAACATGGCTTCCCTAAAGGTGGAAACTTTAGTTTTGATAAAGCGGCACCTTTATGAAAGGCTGCGTGCGGCATGCAGTGTGAATAGAAGCGTTAAAGAAGTAAATAAAAAGTAGGGTGGAAGTTGAGAAGACGGTACAAACACCGACTGCCAACTACTTGGTAAATTTAGCACTACCAAACATAGGAGTCTCTGCTGGCAAAGGTTGGCACCGCATGCATCTGAGGCTCAGAATATAGTTTAGCAGCTCTTTTTTCTTTATTTAGATTCGGGTTTCATCCCGTAGTCAGCGGGCGGTGAGATTTAATCTCTAACTGTTTCAAATTAAATAGAAATATTTTTACATGAATAAACAATTTTCGTTATCTATTTTGAGTCTTCCCGCAACTTTCTGTTACCTTTTGTGAGTCGCCCCGCAAGTCCCAAAACTCGTTGCAGAGGATCCATGGTGCACATGGTACCAGGAAATCCAATCTTATCTCGGGTATCTCCCAGAAATAACGCCCAATAATAGCAAATTAACTGTCAAGATGCCCCTATATACCCTCCAGAATGGTTTCAGGAGGATAGCTGCCATCTCCCGTATCTCTGACTAATTAGAACAACCCTGCTAATCATAATACCCCACAACAATCAGTTTTATTAAAGTATATCTGGTGGTTAAAACCCGTACAAGTGACGACCCCCTGTGTTATGATGTCATGTAGGTTAGGAGGATGGGGTGTCAAGCTCGGCACTGCCAGGGTATCACCACTTTGTTGGTACAGTTAATAAGAACTCGGTGTACCCTTTGTCTGAACTGCCTTTTTTGACAGATATCACGTTCTTCTTTTCAGCTGTTTCAACGTCATTTTCTTTGATCTCATCCTGGTAAACTTGCAGTCTTGCACTGAGTGCACGATGTTTTGTCCGAATGACAGCTTTGAGCTGAGAAGTTGCGTAAGATCATGCTTGAAATTTGACTGTTAGATGCTGAATGCTGATGGGCGGTGTTTCGTTCACTGTTCAGTCTCAGTTATAATTCAGTTCAAGTATCTCGAATAGCGCTAATGCTGAGAGTTGTTTCTGCATTTGAAGTCGCTGACATCTAAAACCCAACGCTAGGTCCTTATTTTATTAAAAGGTTCATCGACTCTGGGATACATGCAATCTTCCATGGATTAATAACGTGGATTAATAACTGTAGTGTACGTGATAGTGCTGTTGCCAGGTGCTTGTGGTCAAAAATGATAGTTCATATTGCTATGAATAACCTAACTACTCGTGCTGACCAGTCTAGACAGACTCTGTTTGGGCAGATATTATCAATACAGCAACTTAATACTCCTTTTTGTGGAAATCATGACTGCTCAGATAAACTTATTTAATAAAATTAAGTCTGATTCGATTTTAAGTAGGTACGCTACAGCCTATCTTTAAGATGTAGGTAACTTAGGAGATATCGATGGAAGACAGGAAGGGCGGGGGAGGTTGTATGATGTTTATCAGCAGTTCGTGGACTGACTAGATTCTCTCGTTGCTTTAATGCTATTCAGTATTTGATTTAAAATCTTCGTCGATTATAACTTTATATCATGCATAATTCAAGAATTCTAGACCTGAATAAAATAGAAGACATGCAGCTGAAAACAGTACAACCGTTGTAGTTACATTGTATTTGGTAATAAATGCAAATCTGTGACATTCATTCTGAGTAATCAATATAGTGTAATTTGAGATAAGGATGTAAGTTTTATAACATTAACGATCACCTATATACTATTTCATTCACCGTGGATTGTTGTTAGATTTGTACCTACTCTCAGGCCACGCCCGTCGCCCTCCCAGGAATAATGCACGGAAATTAATCCATGCTCTTTGCCTGCAATACCCATTTAAATTTAATTAGTTCATTACTTGCCTAATCAGGGCATCACATTCGTTATGAGAGTATTACATTGGGGCCATTAGAAAGTTTCTATAGAATAATACCGGGGTTCGGGGTTGTATTAGCGATTCTAATGGCCCATTACCAGCCACCTGATCTTTAAACTCTCTCTTTAAACAGTGCGACTTTGTACATGTGTTCAGCGGATCAAATATCATGCACCCTTTGGGGCTGTTAGCTGCTCAACCAACAGATTTGGTCTTATTCCTTAATGTGCCACTATTTGTGCACATTTTGCAGTTGATTACCACATTATTTGCCACCGTGATTTGTTGTACATTGTATTTTATTGATATATTACATATGAGGACTCATTTTGGTTTTGATAAAACTCGTACATCAAACTATAACACCTGGAGCTCTTAGTATTAAATATTAAATCAAATGTTGCAATTATTTTATATTGGCTGCAAGTCAAAGCCGCGGAGATATTATACAGGGAGGCTGAGAATAACTTATATATGTCAGGTCACAGTTTGTACTTAGGCTTTGCATCATCGTATTAGCTTACGAAGCGCCCTGTCGCATTATGTGATGCGACAGGGCGATCCGCGATACCATCAGATTTGTAAAGAAATCCTGCCAAGAAGTAAACACAGTGATAGTTGTCTGTCAGTTGCCTGGCAACCTGATAATTGCCTGTCTTCTGATCTCTATAAACTCGTTAAAATATATTCAATATTCATTAATATTAACGTGATGTTTCTAATATAGCATATTAGTCATCTGAGCGGATCAATCATCAATATAAGTGTTATTTTGGTGAAACAAGCTTAATAAATTACCGAGTGATAAAATTCAGCAAGTCGAAACAAATAAAATTATGATATCAGCTGATAAACTCGTGGCTGATTATTTAACAGTTGATCGACACTGAATGGTAAAAAGCGAATACATAGTCGAGAACAGATGTTACTTACATTTACATCCAAGAAGTAACTAAGATCAAGATTGCGGTACTACTACAGCTATGCTAGTATAGAAATCCTGCCAAGAAGTAAACACAGTGATACAGTGGCCCAAAAGTAACTACCCACACGCAACCCTTTAATAACTCACGTAATTCTTCTTAGAATTGCACAGAAATTTTAGAGATTATAGATATGGGTCAAACTTAGATTTCCTGAAAGTTTCGTCAAATTTAATTTATTACAGTGGGTGTGGCACGCCACTCCCTCTTTTTCGCTATTGTCACCATAACGTGATAATGCTTTCAGCTAGGAACATTTGGTTTGATAATTGAAGTGCTTTCCAAAAATTTCAAGTTGATTGTTCACAATTTAACTTTAAGCAAGTTATGACCCTTTTAAGATATTGCAGATACGTGATTTCGTCACTCAATCAGTAATCTCATCGGGAGCTATTCGCTAGCGAGCAACAATAAGCCTCATTAGGCGGTAACGAGCATGTTGGTGGATGACGATCTGATCACTTTGAGTGAATACTGATAGTGACGTTCCTTAAAACCGAAGAAATTCGTGTTATAGCGCTTCAGTTGCTGTCCTATAAGCAGTCTCCAACCAATCAGGGTATTGATTAAGTAAAGATATCACTGATTAAGTGACGAGATCACGTATCTGCAATATCTTAAAAGGGTCATAACTCGCTTAAATTGTGAACAATCAACTTGAAATTTTGGGAAAGCACTTCAATTATCAAAATTTTGAAGTTCCTAGCTGAAAGTGAAAGCGTTATCACTTTATGGTGACAATAGCGAAAAAGAGGGAGTGGCGTGCCAAACCCACTGTAATAAGGGGGGGGGGGGCCAAGTGGATATTTGTAGATATTTGTAGAATGTCATCCACTTTTTTCGTGAATTATCCATTGACAATAATCTACAAATATCTACATTTATCTACAAAAAATGTATAGAAATTTGTGTGATTTCTTATCCATTACATGTTTTATCTATTGGATTCCAGAAAGCTTCCAGTAATCATACATGTCATTAAATACCTGAATTAGGTTCCATATTTGATGTTACCACTCATCTATAATTTCATCAAGGACAACCCCTATATGCTTGCCTATACTTCTCTCAGTGCTTTGAATCCGACTGACCGTCAAGATCCTTCACTTGTTCTGGATCTGTCCTGCTTATACTAGTATTTTTTGAGAGAAGGATATTCAGCCACAGGACTTTTTCTGAAGAGTATCCATTTTCTAGCTGAGGCTTTCTTAGACAAGGATTTTAGTCCAGAGCAGAGAGTAGAAAAGGCTTGGTACTGCAAGTCTTTTTTTGTTCTCTGGAAATCTAATATAACTGATAGTTGTCAGTTTATAACTTGGCAGACGTTTAAAGATCTGAAATGTACTTGCGATGGACTCATTCTCTATCTCCTTTTTCTGCAAAAGTAACAACATACCTACTAGGATCTGATGCTAATGAACAACTCTTTGCTTGGATTCGAACTGGTATCTTTGCTGGTCGCCGCACAAATCTCGATGCCATAACTTTAGCATACGGCTGCGAGAAAAGAAATCTTCGCTCAGAGCTCGCTCTTGCAGATGACATGACAGCCTATGCCCATTCCCGTGGACGCAGTATTTTCAGGGAAGAAGTTCCACTACCACACGAGACATGGAAGAATGATACGAAGGAGGTCCACGATT